ACTGTCGGCATTTTTATACCAGTTACAGTAACTATAAAACGCCACATGTACTGGGGAATGCATACAACATTTCGAGGATATTTGTTACAAGTCTCTTGCTCAAATCGGAGTCTTATATCACTGATTTAAATGTATTAGTCGACAAACTTCTATTTCTCGATACGTGTAAACTGAATGCCATCTACTGGAAAGGTCGTCTGAAAACTTTTTGGAAAACTAGAAAATGAAAACGGTTTTTGTTCAGAATGATTCAATCAAGCTACAATCATATAGAATTCCAACATTTAAATATATTAGATATATATATCCTTTCCATATCCTATCGTATTTATATATAATAAACACACAGAAATCGCAATGTTAAAGATATCCAAAGACATAATAGAATATACATGTATCTTTTTAATGTATAATAATGCGTCATAAAAAACATGTCTAACCAAACAGTGACTAGTGGCTTATTAGACATGATAATTAAATATAAAATGATTAGCTAAGTGTCAAAGGAGGAGTGAGGAGAGGGATGGGGCAGGGGTTAGGGTTGGGGTGAGGATCTTATTCTGTTACCTGAGCTGAATGTAGTTTGTGTGGTATAATGACTTATTCAAATTATTAATCTACAATGTAGATTGATAAAATCACTGAAATATAGTTATGTAAATACAGATGCAGAAAACTGAAAGATGTGTAGACAGATTCTTTACAGACATACCAAATTGAAAGAAGCACGAAGAGGTTGAAACTAGTTTTTAAAATGTTTCAGTCGACACATTGTGTATACCACACATATAACATGTAACTGGGACGATTAGTGAAAATCGGTGACATCTACTCATAATTTTTCCAAGCACACTCTCTCACACACACGTATGTAATACATATAGTGCGGATTACAATTTGAAGTCTTTGTGTTCTTTTAGTTACAAACATGTACTCTGTAAATGTCTCTTTATTTTCACCATATATATAGATTATATTGGTATCGCATATTTAGCCAAATATATTGCTTAACATAAGGAACTAATTGTGTCCAGATTTAAACCATGTCCATCCCTTTGTTATATACACAAACGTTTATTATATATCTATAAACCGAGTAGGAATATCTTGGTCATTTTATTACAATGACCAATGAAAAATTCCACATAGGGACAGCCAATCAGATACATATAAAAATTGCACGTTTTGCTGCAGTGAAAAAATTGGGCGCATTTTTCATTAGCTAAAAAATGTCCAGACGAGCTGCCTCTGTGGATAAGGTCTGTGTCAAATTTGTTACTTCTCAGCAACTTACCCATGTATTACGTATATAATTATTATAAAAATTGATATAAATGTTGTTGTGAACGTCGTATTTTCAGCAAATTCACATTTTGAAAGTATTGAAATGGCTTCCAGATATATGTTCAACCTGTAAAACCTTCATCAAGTTGAGGGGGGGGGGGGGGGGGGGGCTTCGGGCCTGGGCTACGCCAGTGCACGTAAGAGGTCGTATGGTTGATATTAATTCTATTTTGTAATTGTATCGTTTACACACACACAATGGGAAATTATTGTTTTTTTGGGGGGTTTGGTTTTTTTTTTTTTTTTTTTAAAAAAAGGGGGTATATAACTGGTAGAATGTTCAGTATTTACGAGTACTGCCATGTTTACCATATTTCATAATATGATTGCATTTGTTAGTTTGTTAGTTACACATACATTTTATTTTTCTTGTCTTTAAATATTGATTTGATTCAAGTCGAAATATGCTTGTATTTGTTTTATTTGTTTGATTAAAAGAAAAATTCCAGAGATTCTTTAATTTTTATATTATAATCTTTATTACATTTTTAACCGCTTAAATACATGTAAGTGTTAATTTCATTACTTTATAAACACATGGGATTCAGAAATGAACGGGCTAATGCTAAAATTAGATTTGTTGTGTTGTTTGAAAAGTTATTTTAATATGTTTCACAATACTGAATCCAACCTTTACATCTTAAAATATATATAATATACTTATGTAGATGTATAGTTTTTGTAAGGATCTTGAGTTGTCTCCCCTTGTAAAATATTTCCATTGTTTTAATACAGAACAAAGGGACCATATGGACAGAGTGATTTGATGCTGATGATAGCGGGCGATGAGCATACTACTGACGACAACCCACGACGAATCCAGGGTCTCTGACCGGCGGTACCCTGGGGCACGCTCAACGGGCCTGGGTAAACTGGTTAGGACACAGAAGAGACATCACGGACTCAGTAGTATGTTTCTCACTTATAGCAAATCAACACCCTGAGAAGTGAAGTAAGTGTTAATTTTTATATTTTAAGAAGCATGAAAATGTGTTAACTCCCCTGCTTATGATTTTTAAAAAGTATATAATGAAGAAGCCAAAGTTCTGTATTTTTTATGTAATCTTTTTCATTTGAATTCATCAAAGTAGGATTCCGTTATTGAGAAAAGGTTCAGAAACAACTGCTTGTCTTACCCAATAAATATAAATATTTTAGTTTGTCATGTTTCTAAAAAGGAACTTAAGAAATGCAGATATGAAATAAATTCCTTGCTTGATATGACTACGGCCTACCGACCGACTGACCGACTACTGACTCGACGCCTACCGACCGACTACGGACTCGACGCCTACCGACCGACTGACCGACGACGGACTCGACGCCTACCGACCGACTGACCGACTACTGACTCGACGCCTACCGACCGACTGACCGACTACGGACTCGACGCCTACCGACTGACTGACCGACTATGGACTCGACGCCTACCGACCGACTGACCGACGACGGACTCGACGCCTACCGACCGACTGACCGACGACGGACTCGACGCCTACCGACCGACTGACCGACGACGGACTCGACGCCTACCGACCGACTGCTGACTCGACGCCTACCAACCGACTGACCGACTACAGACTCGACGCCTACCGACAGACTGACCGACTGCGAACACGACGCCTACCGACCGATTGACCGACGACAGACTCGATACCTACTGACCGATTGACCGACGACGGTCACGACGACTTCCGACCGACTGACCGACGACGGACACAACGCCTAGCGACCGACTGACCGACGACGGACACGACGCCTAACGACCGACTGACCGATGACGGACACGACGCCTACCGACAGAGGTATTTAACTGTTACTTTTAGTGATTAGAAGAGGAGCTGACATGGGAAGTGACCACCACCTTGTGACTGCGGAGCTGCAACTGAAGCTGAGGAAGACCGGAACTAATCAGAAAGGCAGACCACACTTTCACCTGAAGAAACTCCTGAACCCTAAAGTGAAGAATACCTTCAACTTACAGCTGAGGAACAGGTTCCAGGTGCTGGCAGATGCTGAAAACCTGACACAGCCAGACACCGTAGACATCAATGTCGAGTGGCGGCATTTCAAAACAGCATATGAACAGACCTGCAAATCCTGCCTTGGAACAAAGCAGCGGAAGAAGAAGGAGTGGATCACAGAAGGTACCTGGCAAGCTATCGAGAACAGAAGAACACTCAAGAAAGTCATGGAGGCCAAATCCGAGCGACTGAAGGAGAGATACGAGCTACAGTGCAGGGAAGCAAACAGAACAGTGAAGATGATGACAAGGTCGGACAAGAGAAATTATATGAAAGAACTTGCAGATGATGCAACAAACAGAGGAGAGCAAGGCAGAGTCTACAAGATCACAAAGCTGGTATGCGGTAAGTTCAGAGGAGGTACAGATGCACCATTGTTGGACAAACAGGGAAGACTGCTAACAACAGAAGCCGAACAGGAGGCAAGATGGACAGAACACTTTGGTGAATTCCTGAACAGGCCACCTCCACCAACAGAAGCTAACATACAAGAGGCAGAGAATGACCTAGATATCAACACAGAACCCCCCACAAAAGAGGAGATAATAGCAGCCATCAAGACACTCAAGAATGGAAAATCCCCTGGGCAAGACAATCTAAGCGCAGAAATATTTAAAGCTGATCCACAGCTAGCAGCAGACCTACTGCAGCCTCTTTTTACAGCGATCTGGGAGGGAAAGACATTACCAGACGACTGGACAGAAGGAGTCATTGTAAAGATCCCAAAGAAAGGTGCGCTCAACAACTGCAACAACTGGCGTGGAATTACTTTGCCATCAGTTCCAAGCAAAATACTGGCCAAGATAATTATCCAGCGATTAACTGACACAGTTGACCAGAAACTGAGAAGAGAGCAGGCTGGATTCCGGAAGGGAAAGGGATGTACAGACCAGATATTCGCCTCGTGTAACATCATTGAGCAGTGCACAGAATGGCAGAGACGGCTATACATCAACTTTGTAGACTTTGAGAAGGCATTTGACAGTGTGCATCGGATAAGTTTATGGCGCATCCTTCGAGAGTATGGGATACCACAGCAGATTGTCGACATCATCAAAAGCTTCTACAACAACTTCACATGCAGAGTAGGCAGCAGTGAAACCAGCTTTGAAGTGAAGACTGGAGTTAGACAAGGCTGTGCAATGTCAGCAATGCTCTTCAACTTGACTATGGACTGGGTAATGAGACATACAACTGAAGACCAGTCGAGGGGCATCAGATGGACCCTCCTCTCAACGCTGGAAGACCTAGATTTTGCGGATGATCTAGCTTTGGTCTCCCATACACATCAACACATGCAGGAGAAGACAGCTCGACTCAGCACATATGCACAGCAAATCGGCCTGAAGATCAGTCAGAAGAAGACCGAAGTAATGCTGCTGAATGTTACCAATCCTATACCAGTACAAGTGGATGGAAAGGACTCCGGAAGAGTTCACATACCTGGGTAGTACTGTAAGGCATGACGGAGGAGCTGGTAGTGACATTAGGAACCGTCTGAACAAGGCCAGAAACACCTTCAGAATGCTCAACAATGTGTGGAAGTCCTCTCAATACAGTAACAAGACCAAACTGAGGATCTATCAGAGCTGCGTACTGTCCCCACTACTGTAGGGCTCTGAGTGCTGGAGGATGACAGAGACCGACATAAACAAGCTGTCGGTGTTCCACACTAAAAATCTCAAGAGAATTCTGAGAATCTTTTGGCCCAACACCATCTCAAACCAACAGCTGCTTGCCCGATGTAGTCAAGACAACATGGAGACTATCATCATGCGAAGGCGATGGAGATGGATAGGGCATGTCATGAGGAAAGATCAGGACAACATCACCCGCACAGCCCTTCACTGGACACCAGAGGGGAAGCACAAAAGAGGCAGACCAAGAAACACCTGGCGCCGAAATGTAGAGACAGAGCTCAAGACAATGGAACAGAGTTGGGGTACCATCCAGAGGCTGACCCAGAACCGGCAGACGTGGCAATCCTTCGTAGCCGCCCTACATGCCACATGGCATAACGGGCATGAGTGAGTGAGTGTTTAGTGATTCAACAAAGACATGAAATTGATAATGATGTCATCTAACTCTGCATAGTTGAAACTTCGAGTTTTAAGCAAGCGTTTTGAGACTTACGAACATACAAAAGGAGGACAAACAAGGATTGATCTTAGTCATGGAGATTTTATAGATAGAAGCACGTCATATATGACGTCATACTTGGATTGTTTTACTTCTGGAAACGCTAGGAAGTGTTAACTGTTGTTCCACAGTCTCATTTACAGCGGCATAACTGTAACTTATAACAAGAAAAAAATATTTTATTCTATTAACATTATAACATGATAATCAATGATAGGTTTACCTCTATTAAAAGTATAACTCACATTATTTTGTCATTGGCAGCTCACATTGTTTTGTCATTGGCCTCTCTTAGAATTTCTTAAAGACATGCTGAAAAAAGCTGTGACATTTGGCCACAATGAAGGTATCCAGCTGCTGACATGGCGGTATTTTGTTTTCTCACAATTTGCGGTAGTGGTTGGTATGTACTCATTCCTGGACGCCAGATTTGTTAGCGATTTTAACTGCACACTATTAACATTAATTCAACTACTAGTCTACAATAAATGAGTGTAAAGAAGACAAAATGTCTCCAGTAAGCATAGGTGTTTGTGATGTTATACACATGACAAACTACTCGAAACTAGTTGTGATGTATAGCACATTAAAAAAAATTAATCTATTTAAAATGTGTTTTACTATGTTTGATTATCCATGGTAACTAAGAAGGAAAGTATGAGTTTTTGAATTTTGGATAAATTCTCTGTTTTGATGATTTTTACTCAATAATGTGTGTGTATTTCTCATAGATTGGGCATACAATCATGTTAATATTGTCATAAAATTACATTTCCATAGTAAAGCTGTAAAAAATACTATTTTCCAAACAATATTGTAATGTCATAGGGTTTCTAATATCACACTTGAAGAAGGGTGGGGGGACAGTAAGCATAGGTGTTTGTGATATCATACACATGACATTTAAGAATATCTAATGTCATATCACTGTTAATTACTTTCGAGAAATGTGTCAGATGCTAATTTGAAGTTTTTGTGGGATTTCTAGCCTTCACTATGACATCACAGTGCATTGGTGAAACATCACAATTGATGCATTGGTGAAACCATAACATGAGACTTTATATATGCAATTGATTTTCATGTCCACAGAAGCACAAACTACTCGATTCAGTTTCAATTGCAACTTTATTCAAGTAAATTTAAGACTTATTGAGGTTTTAATTTTTCAAATTACCTCCCTTTCTTCCTAATTTGAGAGCAGAATTGGTCAAAACACACCATGCGGAAAAATCTATATTACTCGATAGCTATTCGAGATACACAGTAAAGCGATATATCGATTTGTTCATCTGATCATTTTCTAGACACTCAGAGGGATTTTCATCAAATTAAAAAAACTAATTGTGATGTATAAGGTAGCAGTACACAGTTTCTCGGTGTGGCCATGGGTGCCTTTTTTGCTCATTAGATTACCCCATTATAAAGGTTTTAATTTAAAATGAAAAAAAATCCTTGCTTGGTCCTGTCATGTTTAAGTAGACAATGTGTGGTTTCATTTTTTTCAGGATAATATTTGTGTTGTGTGTTGGAGATTACTATATGGGCAGTCTCGAATATGTGTCTATGCACCAAAAACTAGCTTCACAGGAAGTGAAATTTTTATAGTGTTTACATGTGGTGATGTTATGAAGAATTTCCGAGTTGAAATTTCCTGAAATGTAAGTACTTTGTTACCATGACAGTGTTGTTGATTGTAAGATAGGTGTTTAGAATTAAATTTCTTCTAGAAAGTTGTGTTAGGTTGGAATTAGCAGTATTTTTGCATTTTTAGCATTTTTTCAGTAGGTAACCATGACAATCAAATGTCAGAAATCAGAGGAAATTTTTTTTACACAAATTTCATCTCTCTACTGTTAATGTAATTGTTATACAGTTTATAAATATATATACATGTAATGATGTATTTTTCATAACCAATCTGCTATACCTGTAAATCTCAAACATGATAAATAATTTCAGGAAAAATACAAAGTAACTGTTTCCTGAAACCTCTGCATTGAGATTATTGCCCTTGTGGAACTCTTTTTTAATTCGGTTGCCCGTACGTGCTGAGAAGATTATCGCGATTTCCACCGTTCAGCTACTTATTAATTATGAAGATTGAATCATTTTCCCCTTTGTCGATTTTTGATATGTTTTTATGGTTAGTTGATGTAACGTTTAGCATAGAAATTATTTCTGTTGCAATTAGTTTGGGGTTTATCATCGGGTGACTAGACTATTATTGGCTACGGACTCGACGCCTACCGACCGACTGACCGACGACGGACATGACGTCTACCGACCGACTGACCGACGACGGACATGACGTCTACCGACCGACTGACCGACGACGGACACGACGCCTACCGACCGACTGCCCGGCTATGGACTCGACGCCGACCGGCCGACTGACCGACTACGGACACGCATCTACCGACCGACTGACCGACGACACACACAACGCCTACCGACCAACTTACTGATGACTTACACGACACCTACTGACTGACATACACACAACAGACCTGACACCTACCGACCAGCATACCAACGACAGACACGACACCTATCAACAGACAAGCACGAAACCTATCATTATCAAAATTATAATGAAAAAATAAAAAAAAAAAAAAAACAAAATGAGATATATCCTTATATTACTTTTAGATTGTTTACATGAATAATTTGTGAAGATATCACTTTTTTTGCAGATTGTTAAGTATTAAAGTAGATTAAAATGTGAATTAAATCTAGTTTCTTTTCCTGTAGAAGAAACATGGAGTAGCTAGTGATATCAATGAACCTGATCCTGTGATATTTGGGAGGACTAATTAACTGACAATCATTGAAATACAAGAGGACAGGGTACCAAGGAGGGTTTTGTATACACATATGTGACTCTAAGGATTATATCTAACATTTTCAACATCTGTTTCGTGCAGGTTTTAATAGTAATACTGAAGAACATTTATATTCTTGATGTTACCTAGTTATATTCCAAAAGGCATCAATTCATAATTCCTTTCATAAAACAAATAGAATTATTTGTAAATTTTACCTGTTCCTTATTCGAAAAGAATATATGTAGATCCCATAAAAATCATAGCAGCCATAAGGCATTCGTATATTTTGTTTATTAAATTTGTTAAATTCAAATTATTGTTGTTTTTTTAATTGTTTCTATTGTCATTGATTCTTTCAATCTCTACCTACATTGTTTCCCAGCTACATTTGCTTCTATGTTGTATTACTGTTTGAAAAATTATTTAAAAAATACATTCAAATACAGTTCCATGATTGCTGTATGCGTAAGAAATGTAACCATTCCATTATTGTTCTTCCAGCTAGCTGTATAAGTAGATAATGTAACAATTCCATGATTGTTCTAATCCAGCTAGCTGTATAGGTATATAACAACACAACTCCATGATTGTTCTAATCCAGCTAGCTGCATAGATAGATAATATAACAATTCCATGATTGTTGTAATCCAGCTAGCTGCATAGGTAGATAAAATAACAGTTCCATGATTGTTCTAATCCAGCTAGCTGTATAAAAAATAGATCCAAGCTGTATAAGTAGAAATTAACAATTCCATGATTGTTCTAATCCAGCTAGCTGTATAAGATAGATAATGTATTGTTCTAATCCAGCAATTCCATTATTGTTCTAATCCAGCTAACTGAATAAGTAGATAAAATGATAATTTCATGATTGTTTTAATCCAGCTAGCTGCATAGGTAGATAAAATAACAGTTCCATGATTGTTCTAATCCAGCTAGCTGTATAAGTAGATAATGTAACAATTCAATGATTGTTCTAATCCAGCTAACTGTATAAGTAGATAATATGATAATTTCTTGATTGTTCTAATCCAGCTAGCTGCATAGATAGATATATAACCATTCCATGATTGTTCTAATCCAGCTAGCTGTATAGGTATATAACAACACAATTCCATGGTTGCATTAGTCCAACTGGCTGTAAAAGCATTCCTCTAACGTTACAATTACATGAAGGTTGGCTATGATACACATAGATGGATAATTATATATACAGGACATTGATTCCTCAGAAACAATCACATATCATGAGGAAATGAAACCAAATTAATGAAACATCTTCAACATCCAAGAGTGTCGCTTGCAATATTAGGTGAATTGTGTACTCTGTATCTTTGGAATATGTAAAGCAAAAAGTAACATTAAATTATTATAGCTGGTGACCAGCTTACCAGGAAGGTCCATCACATTTCATCTTGCCTAATGATACAGGATGTACAATGATAATTGAAACCAACCCAGGAACCTTGGGTCTTCAACTGAGGTGTATAGTACCAGATAAATTTAATGATCAACTGGAGATACCACAGCGAGAAAACTACCATATTATGACTGTACATTAGCACATATGTCTATCTATACTTCAACATTACCACAAACTCACAGAAATACATGTAGTACATTTCAAAATCACGTGAAGACATTACATTTAGGTAGAATTCACTACTAATACTTATTTGTAAATCAACACTAAAATGTCAATTTTCTTCAGCAGAAAAATCAAGGACAAAATTTATTACTGTGGCATAAATGAACTTGTACAAATTTTCCACATTAATTCCACTCAAAAGAACTACATACAGACTGTACCAACTTACAAATTGCAAAATGTACAAGTTCATCCACACTCAGACCACTCAAAAAGAAAACCATACAAAATCTTAACTATGATTTGTATTGTTTTAGACCATCCCCTACCCCGTGGTACACAGAGATACTACAACATTATTTCTATCAAGATTGGAGACATAGTAACCAAATAATCAAAATTGTAGGCAGAAATTTGTTTGCAAAAATTTCAAACCATTAGTTTCTGATGGTGGCAGTGTAATCGTTAGTTTTCTA